TAAAGGGGGGGGGAGAGAGAGAGAGACACACACATACAGTTAGAGAACAAAAGGTATATCTGTCCATTCTTAACAGTGGGGAGGGTTAGGGGGGGGGGAGAGAGAGACACAAACAGTTAGATTCCCTGTAAAGACTTCTCTGTTGACATCCACCCCTTGGCGCTCATATGACTTTATGCAGTTGTGAGCGCCGTAAAACCTCTACTAAAACAAAACAATTATTAAATCGTACTAACAAAAATGTATAACTAATGTCGACAGTCTCGTTGCTACCGAATGTCTATTTGTGAAGTTGCAGTTTCCGTTTTCCGAGGATCAGTTCGCTGAACAGTGCGTTCTTGAGAAAGACACGTAAACGAATTTCCCTCACGTCATCCTGGAGTCAATGGGTACCCGCAACACACAAGCGAATTATCTTGCTAGTCTATTAGATTTTCAGAGCCTGTAAAATGGGAGTTTAAACTCTGTGCTTCCCAAGAATTTGAGACCGTTTCTGAACGCTATCAAGTCAGCAGGTGTAATAATACAGATTGTGAATCTCATAGAGTTGCCTTTGGACGGGGGTTTGTGTTGTGTAAATGTCATATCATATCATATCATTATTATCTTTCGTGGCCTTCTCTCCGCCCTCCTGGAGAGATGAGTTGGGAAACCGGACCCCCAGCCTGCCACAGACAAACGTGATAGAGACATCTCTCTGTAAACAACTTCAGTTTTACATTCTTTGGTATACCGTTAGCTAGTTTTAGTTTTAGTAGAGGTTTTACGGCGCTCGCAACTGCATAAGGTCATATGAGCGCTAGAAGATAAAATGTGTTACAAGAGAGTAACAAACATTTATAAGAAGAAATGGAGATAAGGACGATAGATGTTTGATAGGAAAGAAGAAACAAACTACACCACAGCACCCGCCAACCACCTACTTAGGTATACCAATAATATTATTATAGCAACATTTTGAATAATACGAGTGACAGCAACAACATTAGCACAAAAAATATCAACTCTCTAAGTCTTATGGGCATACACAAGAATCTTGTATAAACTAAGGCAATAAGAACACTAACAACAACACAATGTAGAGACACTCATAATAAACAACAGGTTTAACCTCATTTATCTTGCCTATTTCCAAACTAATTAGCTTGCCCCAAGCCCTACCCTCAACCCCAACCCCTTTTCAGTGCCCACTACCAGTGTCCCCCACCCCTACCCCCAACCCTTACCCCCACACCTTTTCTATTCCACGTAAAGATTAGACTCAATCTCCCTCCCACCCGCCAGCCCCCCTTCCACCCTTCTTTATCGTCAAATCCCATGGTGCTGATATAGCAAGTAGGTGAATGAACGAAAACTGAATGTCTTCCTATCTGCACAGGATATCATATAACAAACATGACACCCAGAAGCTGTCCTGTGTTCAGTGACGTAGACTCGACTTTCGGTGAGTGAGAGCCTGTACCTGTCTGTGTGTGTGTGTGTGTGTCTGTGTGTGTGAGAGTGTGTGTGTGTGTGTGTGTGTGTCTGTGTGTCTGTGTGTCTGTGAGTGTGTGTCCGTGTGTGTGTGTGTGCGAGTGTGTGCGTGTGTGTGTGTGTCTGTGTGTGTCTGTGTGTGTCTGTGTGTGCGTGAGTGTGTGTGTGTGT